GTGTCGCTTAAGTTTCGTCGGTACGAAGTTACGGAAAGTAAATTAACAAACGGAGACGTAACAAAACACTTATTTACAAGCCTTGTGTGACACCAGGTAGAAGTAGAACGTCATGTTATCCCTACTGTAGTTTATATGTATGTGGCACATAAAATACTGAAGGGAATAATAGTTTGGAATTATTTACCAGTGTGCATGGCAAGTAAAATAGGTCATTATGTTTAATACGTTTATAACTATGATACTATTTGTAATAAAAGCAGCTACTATTCTAACATTCAGAAGTTCTTATAATTATAATTATAGTAGTAAGAAGTTTATTCTACAGTAGATAGATGCTTTTATGTTGTACAAGTATATAACATATTTTAACTACCACAGCATAAGCGCCAAGTACATGTAGAGTCCCAGGGTGCATGGTGTTTCCACTTTTTATTATGAAGGTTGGAACCAATATGCATATAATAATTATCATAGAATATGCTCCAGATATATTTCCACATAAGACATAGCAAATCAAAAACGTATCTCATGCACAAAACTTCTTCACACCTAAAAACAACCTTTCAATCGTTTTCAATTTTATACAACAACGAGGTATTAATTTATAACAAAACGTTATTCATCACTAATGTAAGTACACTTTCACAAGCTGCGTCATGGCCCATTAATTTATAACAAAACGTTATTCATCACTAATGTAAGTACACTTTCACAAGCTGCGTCATGGCCTAAGTAAAATGTAATCATTATTTTCCTATCTTATTTTACGTTATTCAATAACCAAATCACGAATGCCCAAACCTTAAGTTAATCGAAGTCATATCCCCCGCGCAATGAAATGTTTTGACTGACAAATACTTCTGGCTATATTCACAACAGCTTTAACTGCACTTTTAGAAAAACTTATTTTCGTTTAATTTTCATTGTAAAGAACTTATGTTTACTGGATTTAAAAGGTTCGTGTCCACTCATTTTTTATGTAATTGTTTTTAACACTCGTTATATGTGTCGGTAACTTTACTGCTAATTCTTCCTTTCATCTGGGTTATTTCTTACACTTACCTGCCACTGCTTGCATCGTGGCTGAGACAGAGGTAGCACAGTCATCACACTAATATTGCTTCTTCTGTCCATATTCTAGGCAAGTCTATCAGGGACAGAGTGGTATTTGTAGCAAGGAAAAGCTCGGTATGTGACTGGACAAATATATCACGTGAAATGGTGAGCTCGTTGTTCATTGATTACAGGAGAATCAGTATTTCTCTTGTATATTCTGACTATTCGTTGTTGAGTGAATGTAAAACGTTAACTAATAAAACTACTCATTCAGAACTGAAAAAAATCACACTTGAAAGTTTTGTACACATACATGTTTATGCACTCTATGTAACGCAATTATTGCATTTCGATACGTTTACATTAACCCACCGGGTTCCACCGTAGAACAAAGAAGTCACATATGTATACACTCGCAAATGATTGGTTTTGCCATACCAACAGCTGCGATCAATAACCTGTCCTGCCAGGATCCACACAGGGCGGGGCGATCAGTCAGCGCACCGGGGTAAGGTAACTTTTCTGTAACACATCGATTGATGGGTGATATAACCATCCTTCTAAAACATTGTAAGTGTAAACGATGTTAAACAAAACCTTCAATGAGCATTGAGGTAATATGGAAAATCGTATATACATATCTATATAAAATAAGTGAAAACGTAGCTCCTATAATTTATGAATATCGCCGTTGACAACTCATCCATTACTTTCCTGAAAAACATATCTTATATTACCGAATATTATTTATAGCATTTTAATATCAGAATAATATACACACTCGCTCGTTTCAAAAACTTTTTAAAACTGTTACTTTTTATATATTTACTTTCAGTATTACGTACCTTCGTTGACTGACAATTTGAGAATAGTTATGTATAATATCAGTTAACGTGTTTGTTAATGTGAAACTGTGGTATAACGTTGGTCAAAAATCAGTTTGAAAATACCACTTATATGGGTATAAAATCAACCAACAGTTTGTAAAGGCTGAAAGTGCGTGGTTTTACCAATGTGGACAGTTACTTTGAGAATAGTGATGTCTGATACAATAACAGTCAACAGTGTGTTAGGGCTGAAAGTGCTTGATATTACCTTGGTTGACAGCTTGAGAACAAAGTGTTTGGTATTAAACGTTTTTGACTATATCTGTCAAGAATCAGTTTAAAATAATAATAACTGGCATTTCCTTACTTACTACTCAGTGATACTTAATGAGTATCACAACAAATTGCAATGTCTATTGCTGTGTTTGTCAACATTGTATTTGACAACAGTATTAGGCTTTACTTTGTTTTAAAGTTAATTTGAGATGATAATATCTGGTGTTGCCTAGTCAACAATAAATTTAAGTAGAATGTTGACTGATGATGTATTTGAGAAGATAGTGTTCAGTATTATTTTGATTTTGAATTAGTGTGCAAACACAGTAACAAGTATTAACCTTGGCATTTAGTCTGTGGCCAATAGTGTCCTGTCTTAGTTAGGTTGATTGTCAATGAATTCATATGTGGAAAATCTAAGTTTAGTAATAAAGATAATGGTTGATAAGACAAAAAACATTTTTATATACAAAAGCTTTGAACCTTTCAGAATACACTTATTCCATCCAAAGAAAAATCTGGAAATAATATTATACTTATATTTACTAACTATATAACATCAATAACTCATTTACTTAAAATATTCAGTAAAGAGGTAAAAGGAAGGAAATGTATGGATTATAGAATATGTAATAAATGTAACAAAATTACAAGTGTAATTGTATATGTTGAACCAACTGGGATAAACACTTGCAATACATAATGATGATATACAGAGCAATGGAGCAGAGGTCTACAACATCAACCTCTTGATCAAAATGATAGGATTGATCAATCATCATCTACAGACTGGACCATCAGGTAGTTCAAAAAGTGTTGTGGCATTTGCTTTCAAAGCCCAAAATGAAATACTACATGGTTACCACTCAATCATCTACAGTCAGAACAAACAATGACTTAAAGGAAGTGGTGACCCTTGTTTTCCAAACTATCAAGTAATGGTTACAGTATGATGTATGCACTACATTGTCCAATTTCCACTTGGTTATCAACAGCTAGGACATTCAGGTAGTTAAAAGACCACTGACAGAACAGACATAGTATTCCTCACTTTCTGTGTCATCAAGTGGTAGTGTATGCACTACATTGTATGATTGCTATTCCATCATCATCAGTTGGGGCAGCTATCTTGTTGAGAAATCAATAACTGTAAATTTTGTAAACTTAGCTTTCTAAGCCACTGAGTGAATTTTCTGATGCAAAAGAGTCACTCCAATAATCTAGCTAAGTAGTAAGAACTCAATGAAGCACCAAGTGTTCCCTAGACTGTCTATATTCCTGGGAAGAATGGCAATATTACTTACAGAATGGAGCTGTTTCCTTTGAGATACGGTAGTGAGAACACATATACTAACCCTGGAAGGTTAGACTTCTAATTAAAAAGTCATAGTTCATCTGAATTTTGTCAGTGATTATTTATTTAGTGATACCCGAAACGAAAAATAAATCTGGTTTTATTACTCCTAAACGACAATACTGTCACTACTGAGAAGCAGCTTCAGAAAGTAAGCCCAAGAAGATTACCGAAGTAATTAATGCAGGAGTCATAGGCAATCTGTTATAAACTACTAGTGTATTTGACAATGTGTAATGTCTGATCTCTCACACATATATGAACATTACATAAAGTCATTCATGAGTGTTATATAACATGATTGAATTACTTATATAAAGTACACAATAGTAAGCAACAAGGGCATGGAGGCAAAGGATTTGACCTCGACATTTAAAATCGATGAGCATGAAGCTCACTTGTGATAATTGACATAGAAGGTATTACTGGAAAATACAGTGCACCTGTTATTTTCATTAATAATAGTAAAAAAATATTTCAATTTGAAGTCCAAATATTCTGCAGTTAGTGAGTTTTCATGGAAGAGGTAAAATTAACAGACAATACACATATCTGAGGGAGAACACAGTTCTATTTTGAGTTTCTCATAAAGAATAGTGGAAAAGATATTTTAATTAGAGCAAGTTGAAATGTTCATGAGTAGAAGAAATTACCAGTAGTAAATGAAATTCACAGACAGTAGCTTATATATATCATCATAAAATTGATGTACATAGTGTTTTATTTCGTTGTGATATAATATTTTCAGTCATGTAGATTGAAACATTTTTTATTACGAAGTTTCATAAATTATTTCTTAAAACTATTTCACTACAAGATGAAGTATTAAAGCATGAAAATGTAGGCTACAAGTGTACTAAGAGGAGGTGGAAGTAACATCCATGTGGTGGGAACTTAGTAAATTGTACCAACAAACTAGTACTAAACTCATAAAATGAAAGAAATGCTATTGGTCAAAGGTAATGGTTGGCATTATCTAACCCAAGTCAGCTTGAATGTATAAGAATCTATTATACACTGGACCCTCCATCCCCCATTCCTTCATACTAGAACTGGGCACTGTCTATGTGACAAGTAGACAGTAAGTACAAAGATAAGGCTAGGTTGAAAAGTATATGTTTTAGTTGTCCAAAGAACAACACAGCTACAGGAATTGGTCAATCAGAAACCCATAGAAGCCTAGGGATTAGGATGTTCACAGGCTCTCGAGATACACGTTCTAAAGGCAATATAGTGCATAACTACACACAAAGCCCAAAGAAATGTCATTTGGTCAATGCCTGCCATCAAAGTTCACAATAATAGCCATGCATTATGAAAACTTTTAACCTATGTACTTTTGACCAATTAGAATTTATCTAACCTTGCATATCAATCTGGACTTTGAGTATTTAAGATCAAGTTTTAACTAAGGTCAGAATTTCTGTTTAATTAGCCAGTGGTAATGCTGCCTGTCTTGCTATGACCTCATTTTTCCAAAGCCCTTCTTTCTTTGTTGCAATGGAATCTAACTAAAATGGAAGCTAGTATTTGTGTGATGCCAAGGGCTATCTATATGGTAATGAAAACAATAATGTTGCCAAACCTTGGACTTTAGGAGTTAGCCTGTTATTTACCATGGCTGAGCTTGTGTTCATGTATGCAAAGATGTGATGCTTGCCAATGCATCTGACAAAGAAGAGTTCACTGCATTTGTCATTGGATTGGCCTTGAGGCCATCAGAAACCAAGCAGCCCTCGTCAGATGCAAAGGGTCCCAGCATCTCTAAGCCTGAGGACCTCCTAGCAACAGAGGGCACTACATCAACCATGGCTTCATCAACTCTGGAGAAGTCTAGTCTGCAGAATGTCCAGAAGTTATTAACAGTAACATTGCTAAGGATGACCCAGTGGTGGTGGACAAGAAGATAGCAGGGCCTGACACTTAGATACCCTATCAGAGGATACACGATCTCTACCTAGCAATAACACCACATGTTCTCTCACCTACAATGGGCGCACTATATTCCTAATCTGGAGAAAACCTTTCTGGAACTTGGGTCCTTTCTGGGGTCGAATAAGCCTTGAGAAGGCAGAGGCAAGACAGGTGCCCATGGAATACTGACCATCATTGGAATGACCAAGTCAAAAGTTTCCTCTCCTGTTGCCACCACCATGACAGCAGTGCATACTAGCCAGTCATCTAGAGAAAACCATTTCTACCACCATCACTTTGTTGGGAGTTAAAAATCAATGTGAGAGCCTCCATTTCAATGGCAGGAATATTTATTATGAAGATTTAGAAAAGTTCCTGCACCTAGCCAACTGTCAAGGACTCACCTGCAAAATGATTCCCAAAGAATACTGAGGACAGAATTATCAAATAAACCAACTAAACTAGAGCAGTTTCCAGTGTTGATAAAGCACTGTTAGGAAATGACCACCAACTGAATGAAATGTGGGCTCTTTAAAACTATAAAGATGTTTGTTTGTTTTGAATTTCACACAAAGCTAAACGAGGGCTATCTGCACTAGCCATCCTTAATTTAGCAGTGTAAGACTAGAGGGAATGCAGCTAGTCATCACCACCCACTGCCAACTCTTGGGCTATTCTTTTACCCATGAATATTGGGATTGACCGTCACATTATAGCACCCCCATGGCTGAAAGGGCGAGCATATTTGGTGTGACAGCTATAAAGATGACTGGTTGCATTGGAGGCAAAGCCAGCTGACACGGAGAGAGCTCAAGCCAAAGCCAGGGAGGACCTAAAATCCATGACAGCAGCTCTGGAGAATCTCTTAGCTCTGCCTAAGTGTATATTGTGTACAAATTTTACCTTAATTGAAATTGTATATTTTGTAAATGTACAAAAGTAAACTGAAATAAAAAATAAATGTATTTTTTTTTATTTCAGTTTGATTTTCTAGGATTCATCCTGCATTACTTTTGTAA